GCGAGTAAAGCCGTAAAAACGGCAGCTCTAATGCCCCTCTAAAACTTATCTGGTTAGTTGAAAAAGCTAGATAAAATAACCATTAACCGCTGTTTTCCATTTTGCAGATGGCGACCTACCGATGTCCATCTAATTTAATTAATGTCGAACGAAACCGGCGCTGCCAATAGGAGAGATAGATACAATTAAATAATGGGAGCACCGGAAAAACGGCTCATCGACCAGTGCCGTAGAAAACTATTTTTTTTCCCCAGTAAATTCATCACTACTTTTTTTTCAATAACTCAGCTATATTCCAACATTTTTGCGACGCCCTGTGTATAATATACCTCTCGATTTTATTTTCAAATAAAATGATTTATTCGCGTCACTATCCCGCGGTGAAAAGCATAGAAGTCTCAATATTGACCACCTCACAGGACATCCATTCACCTGACCGACGTTAAATAAATATATATTAAGATCTTACGCGTACATTTTATATTCATATTTATGGTATGCAAATGCGCTCGTAAATCAATAGAGGAAAAAATCCTCGGCCACTTTAAATGGCTTATTATAATGTTAGTTTAATCGGAACCTATATGAGCGCGCATCACATTCGGCATTATATTTAAATTCATATGGAGATTCCGGAAATTTATTACGACAGCACAAAGAATCCTGTTTTTTATTGTTTGCGTTTTGTAAATTTGTCGGACATGATAAATTCGTTCCAACATTTAATCTCGAATATGAAAAATTACGTACCTAACAAAACGGTTGTTCGAACAAATTATTTTTCGTAGTGTAGTTTCTGTTACAAGCTGTTACTACACTGCGAAAAATTGAAATGAAATTTACTGTTTATACACCCTAAATCGTATACGAATCTTTTCTGCTTTTATCGTATAAACTATTGTACTTATCACAAAAAAATAAATGGATAAAGATAACGAATTTTCATAATACAATTTCATAATAAAAAAATCATTGTTCTTCTAGTGTAGCTACTTGGTGGTTGCTACACTAAGAAAAATGTTTCGCAACAAAATCGACTGTATAAATATTTAGGAAACACTCAGTATAGTCTGTTTTGAACCTACATTTTAGATAAAACATTCCGAAACAGGAACATATCGATTTTATCGATGCGAGCCATCTACCTAGAGATATTTCGTCGAGTAGAGGATATTTTTTTTTCTCAACAACGGAGCATAACTTATGACAGGCTACTTTAAAAGCTTTTTGTAATTAAAACAAATATACGATTGTTATCTCTTCGAGCGCGTTGTTTTTATTATTTTTTACCTCCGCCTCGTTCTTTCTTCTCCACACACACACATGGGTCTCAAGTAGCGCCGTTTTCGATTAATTACGATTAATTGAATTCTACTTATCTACACGAGCTCCAGATAGATTATTATTTGAAAGATACCGCTTCGAAACGCTTTGACCCTCGAGTTTTAATAATGAGTATATACTTATTCGGTGATGGGTCACCTCGCGTATGGGGGGATTAATATTTTTCCTCTATATCGAACGCGATTTACGAGCGAAAAAAAAAAGGACAATCCCGGTTGAAGTTCCATTGTATACCGCGACAATATTGTCGACTTTTTGATCCGATTTGTCGGATTGTCCTGTGGGTGGGTCGGGTCCTCCGGTGATCCTTTTTCTATATTGTCGAGGTCCGATCGCCCGAGCGAAATAGTCGCTTTGAATGGCATTTTCGCACGGCCAATGCCAGTATTGGTCAGCTAGTTTTTTTCTGCCAGACGTAATCCTCTTTGCGTCCGAAACGTAATGACGAAAATAACACATGTGTCCTGACAATAAGGGTGTCTTACTGTCAACGCTACAATTGCCGCAAAAAAATATATGTGTGCGAAGGAAAAGGATCTATAATCGCATTACCGACGGCTCGGGCGATGTTTGCTGGCAACTTCTTAATTGTAGAAATTGAGATTTTTGATGGGAAACGCCCTGACAAACAGTACCTGCTCGTATCGCATTTGGAATATTGTCGGGCAGGTAGTTTACAAGTTGTTAACATCTTACCTGGATATACACTGTACTTATGCACTTATAGAGTTAACCACCTGTATAAATATGGAATGTTAGTAGCGGAGATAGGCCGAAGAGTATAGATTTTATGAAGTGGGATTTAAGGTAAAATTCTTCAAACATGTTTTTTAGTGTAGTGAAACTGCTACAAAAGTGAAATTTAATGCAAAATTGAAGAAGCAAAAAATCTTTTTTATCTTATCATCTTCTATTTATCTTATTATATCATATTAGAATATAGGAAACAAATTTGTATTGTATTAATAATATACAAAAAAAACATTTTTGGATAATAACGAATTTTCTGTTTGAAAAAAAAATATATTAATCTACCCTTATTGTAACACCCTCACGTACACATGTCAGGTTTCTGGAATGCTCTATAGCCTAATAAATTCAAAACCTCGGTAATAATAGATAGAAATATCGCCGGGTTTTGTATACAAAATTCCAAAATATGATTGACACCATTCATTCGGTTAAATCGAAAAGAGAACAAGATAGTTTGCCTCTGTGACATTAAGCCCTAAAGTAAATATTTTTTTAGCGCTTCGAAATATTTCTAAACTGACCGCAAATCCGTATATGATGGTAATTGAAATATTCGTGTATGTTATTTATTTATTTATAATCATTGAATCGGAAAAACGAAATTAAATTTATATCAAAGATAATCCGGTTCGGCAAACATTGCGCCGAAAAACAAAAATTCCCCATCAATATTATTTTGATTAAATATGTCGCATTAATTGAATTATTCAATATAGAGTGGAATAATTGCGATTTCAATATATCGCCGTGGATTACGCGGATCAACATATGTTTGATTAAAACGTTAATATTCATCGAAATAATAACGAAACGGAAATAATTACCCAGCAAAATCGGTAAATATATTTACCATTTAACCACCACCGGTCGATTTTTTCCCACTCTATATACTACATCATACAGGGTGTCACGAAAAACGCATATATATGTATTTCAATGCGACATCCTGTATACACTAGCATACAAAGATACACACCCGGAAAGTCCGGAGGCGTCACCGGATCGCTTTAATTGCATCACGTCCGTCGACTCTGTACGGACTCCGGAGTGTCTTTGATGTATCCGCCATACTGTTTGTACACGCTACATGAAACTTACATGAGCTGCTGATCGGCCTCTGAGCCAACATTGCTCCGCCATATCACCGGATAGATGTTAGTCTTGCAGTCGCCCCGATGCTTCTCTCTCTCGACACAGTGACGTCCTGTATATCCTGTAACAATTTTTAAGGATGATAATCTAGTAGGTAGCCCAAGGAACTGTCAGTTGTCAGTTGTCAGTTACTACAAACTGGTATTATATCTGTCAAAAGTTGCAGCTGTGAGAAATGTCAACGTTATAACCGTCAAACTATCTATCTGTCAAAGCTGTCGTTGTCAAAATTGTCAAAACCACTGCAATCTAGATGTATGGTGGATTTGTTTAAATGTATCTATATAGAGAATATCGGCGCCTCTGGTTGGATTGTTGTCGTGTTTGCAGACCTTGGGCTGGTGTACTTTGATGAAACCGTGTAACGCCCTCTAGATATATTGGATTTATCGGCGAAGTGTTGGTTTCGGTCGGGAATTTATCGCGATTTTCTACTCGATACCGGGACGTCGATGTTCTTCTTCCGCACAAATCGAAAGGCAATTTTGATAAGAAAAACTATATCCTCCCCAAACTATATCATTTTTTCGCAGCGTAGTTGCGAGAAGTTGTAGCTTACAAAAAAAATAACGAATGCTTTTTCCCAGTGTAACTACAAATTCTTGCAACTACATTGCGAAAAAGTGATTATCGCTCGAATTTAAAAAAGGGGTGCTATAAAATTTCCTAAAAGGCGCATAATTACCGTCTTTGTTATAATTAGAGAAATTCTCTCCGCCTGAACGCGTTCGGAAATATCAGACGGGCGAAAATATCGGCCTTCTATCGGGCTCTTAATAGGCACTAATGCTTCCGCCATTAGTCAGCTGGTGTTAACGAGGGTTCGGCCCGCAAGTCGATTTTAATTCCGGGATTTATAGCTTATAAAATTGTTTATCTAGCAGCCGAATAAAAGAACAATCGAGCGCATTAACGGCCATCATTACACGATATACTAAACTTTTTCCCTTCCTACCGCAAACTCGACGTTATGATAATCTCCGTCGGATAATCGTGAAAAATATTAAATTTCTTTACGAGAAACGAAACAAAGAGGTTTTACATCTAAAAATCTGGTCGAAACGCCACTTAGCCCACGGATTGCCCGATGGTCGGGCATTTTTTTTATCTTAACGACATCGGAGGAATATGCCCGTTTTCCGTGCGTTTGTGATGTAAATGTCGGGGGTCTACACCTGTACAGAAATATCATTTTCCCTGCTCTACATAATAATAGAGTGGCCCGGCGGAGATACATCTCGTTTATTTGTACACATGTCGTTTAGATATGAGCCTTAATAACGAGACAATTGTGTACGGATCGTGTTGGTGGGTCTCCGGACATTTTTTTTATTACCCCGCATTTGCTACTGGACGTGCTCGTATTGTACAGGGTGGGCCAAATATGTATGAATTTTGAGAAATTATTGCCAGTATTTATATTGCATTTTCCAATTTCCTTCAAATCAAGAGACCAATTCTGTTTGCAAAATTCTTCTTCAAAATAAATTGACCAGAATTTTTACTGGTATTTGGTATTGGACGTTGTTTGTATTGTATAGGGTGTCCCAATACCTATATGCTTTCCGAGACATTATTACTAATAAGAATTTAAAAAAACTATAAGATAAGATTGTTTGAAATGAAATCATTGGGCTACAGATAGTTTTGTCTCGTTTGATCCAATTCTAATAGATAAATAGAATAATAGAAATAGATAATAGATTAGTAGAATGGATAAATTTATAAATTTAAAAGCTCGTTTATGAAATAGAGAAAAGCGTAGTGTGCACTCTTCGAAGATGGATACAAAAATGGAAAGTACGTAAATTTATTATTTTCTTATTGTAACTATACTCACACTCTCAAATGAACCATTTAATTAATATATTTTTTATAATATTATTTATTGTTTATTTTGGAAATTGTTTTGTTTTATAAGTACTTTAGTAAGTATACAAGTACAAGTAAAATTTTATTATTGGAGAGGCAGTAAGTGCGTTTTGAATTACAAAAATATCAATTTAAATTTCGAAAAAGTGCAAGTCAATGTGATAGGTAAAATCAATTTGTAGTGATGATGATATCACACATGAGTAATCTTTTTTTTTCACATTTTAATGCATTCGAGTGTTTAAATTAACTATCAATTTAACACTCGATGTTTGTGTTAAACTAAACAATTAATTTATATTAAGTAGATCACTATCAGTCTATTATCACTGTGATGAAAGCATTTTTATGCAAAGTGAAGGTCGCCAATTGAGTAAACAATTTTCTTAGATTGCAAAATATTTCTCAGAATGGATTTCCTAGTGTTATTACCAGATTTTCCAATTTCCTTACAGAAACAGAACCAAGAGACCGGTTCAATCTGGTTCACCTCTGCTCCTTTTTACTGGGCTTCATGTCGATGGTGCCCTTCTTCATAGTCAGCACCTCCGCAGGCGTAAGTACTTAAACCCCTTTATTCATCACTTTCTCACATTAAATTAAAGTACTGGATGTACAAATTTCGAGATCCATCCACGGGGTCCAGCGAGACCAATGGCAATAACAGAACCACATTACAAACCTACTTCCAATCGGCCACGGGCATAGCCCAACAATTACCTTCCGTGCTCTTCGCCCTATTTTGGACTGCTTTTGGACACACCATCACCCCCATGAAGCGTACCATGTGGTCTTTGGTGGCATTCATCGGCTTATATGTAGTTTTTACCGTGTTCACCAAAATCGATACGGATTCCTGTGAGTATCCTAACTTTATATGATAGTATTGTGTGGACCAAGAGTTGCTCCAGTATCCCTATTGGTCTCTACTTTACCATATAACCATTTGTTTGATTCTAGGGGAAGTAGAATTTTTTTCAATAATAATGATCCTTCTGGTGATCAATACAGGTAAACGCCAAGTGTCCCCAATCGCACAATCAATTACATCGAATCATTGCAGCTCTAATGGCAACTCTACAAATGTCCGGAGTGGTGTTAATGGCGAAGCTCACTCCCAGCTACCTGATGTACTACCTGGTGGGTCAAAACGGGAATTTCTTCGTCACCATATTGCAAATCATCTGCCTCGCTGTGACCGACGACCAGACCACCACAGGACTGATTTATTTCAGCATCAACACCATCGTGATCGTCATGTCGGTGGTGCTGCTGATGCTCTCCAAGAGATCGGAGGTGTTCAGGTACTTCGATGTGGAGAACGTGAAGCACCAGACCTCGGAGACTTTGAGCTGGAGAGAAACGTTGGAACTAGCGAAGAAAATCTGGCCCTGCCTGTTGATCATTTTCCTTAGCTACTTCGGCGCGACTTCGGTGCATCCTAGTATCTCCACTTTGGTGGTGTCCCAGTACGAGTATAAGAAAAACGATTGGTCTAGTGGGTATTTAATGCGGTAAAATATTGTAATTTAACGGTATTGTTGTTTGTAGAAAAGTATTTCACTCCGGTTGGCGCTTTTCTTATATCGGAATGTTCCGCTATTATAGGAAGAATTACCTCCAAGTATACGATTATAAATGTAAGTAGTGTTTAGTGTAGTTGGGAAATATCATCAGCATATTTGTTGCAGAATAAAAACAAATGGTTGTTCATTGTATTGGCCTTTGTGAGAACAGTAACACTTATACCGATTGGATTGTTTTTGAATGCACAGCCCAGGAATTTACCTGTGATTTTTGATAAAGATTGGGAGTTTATGCTGTACATGTTTTATTTCGGCTTTACTTTGGGATTTTTGATGAACATCTGCGCGATGAGCATGAAAGTGTACGTAAAATATATATCTAGTTTTTAATCAGTAAATAGATTTTTTTTTGTTTACAGTTTAGCTCCGGGTCAGCAAGAACAAGCATTGAAATTAATGTCTTTAACCATATCGGTTTGCAGCGTTATTTTCGTTGCAAATGGTACATTGACTGTTATGATGTTAAAACTTTAGATATAACTAACTCAATTTTATTGTGATTTACTTGGCAGTATTATAATGTAATAAATCTCTGTCGGTGTTTTAATGTCGTTAAAAGATGAAAGCTTTGTTTTTAGAATTTTGTAAAATCGTGATAATTATTACTGTTCGATTAGATTAATTCTTTTAGATTATACGATTATTATCTTGTAAAAATTAACCAGTATTTTTTTGGGTTTATCACTCGACTCGAAGACGGTGAAAGAATAATTTGTTAGGTAGTAAAAATGGACAGTAAGTACATGAAAGATTTTTTTCGAAAAAAATAACTTTTTACTCGCTTCGTAATAAGTAAATACAAAATTCATAGTCAATTTAGTTCCTGAATAATTTTGAAAGTTTTAAAATAATAAGTTGAAAGTTTTAATTTTTTTTTCCAAAAATATTAACTTTTAGAGAATTTACAACTTCATAAGAAACATTCCAGTATCATTTTTTACACTGCTTTTACAAACTCCTTATTAGCTGAAATAAGAGTTGTGGAAATTTCGGTTCATTTACAGAATCAACCAATAATTTAGCAGACTATGGAGGAAGCACATCGACGATTGCAGAAAAAAAACCGCCCTCGGACAATTTTTTTCTCGTTCACACGTGCTCGTTACTACTAGGCTTTATGACAATGGCTCCGATGTTTATCATGGGCACAGCTTCCGGTGTAAGAATTTAATAAATCCATTTGTTACAACCCTAATGTATACCTACAAATCCAAACATATACACGACCTTGCAAGTACGATACAAAATTATACACCTAATATCTAATCTTTTCATTACTTCATCGACAGTTTCAGATAATAAATCGCACTTACTTAACTATTTCTATTAACGAATTTTAGTATTGGTTGGATAAATTTAAAGATCCTTCTCAAGATCCATCAGATAAACACAGAACAACATTGCAAGTTTACTACCAAACAGCAGCGACAATCGCCACAAATGGACCCATGCTGTTATTTTCAACTTTCTGGACCGTGTACGGACACAAAGTATCCCCCATGAAACGCACCATTTGGTCACAAGTCCTCTTCACCGCCCTGTACGTTATATTCACCATGTTCACGAAGATAAACACGGATACATGTAAGTACTAAAGCCATAAAATAACTCCTCATCAATACTCCGATTCCAGGGCAAGCTCCATTTTTCGCAATTGCCATGGTGATGCTGGTGCTTCAAAGCGGTAAGTTCCTATCAATTGTACCACTTCCGAACCCCATCACGTTACCTTCCAGCGATGATGGCCACCCTGCAGATGTCCACGGTGGTGCTGATAGCTAAGCTGCCCCGATCCTACTTGCTATTCTACTTCTTCGGACAGGGAGGCACCTTCGTGCTGACCATCTTGCAGATCATTTGCTTGGCGGTGACCGACGATCAGAGCACCACCGGTTTGATTTACTTCGGCACCATCACCTTCATCATGGTGCTGACCTACGTGGTGCTGATGTTGTGCCGGAGGACCGAGTTGTTCGAGTACTACGAGCTGGAGAAGGCGGTGCACCAGAGATCGGAGATGTTGAGCTGGTCGGAGAGCGTGTCCTTGTTGAAGAAGATCTGGCCCTGCATATTGGTGATATCGATAAACTTTTTCAGCGCTTCTTGCATACATCCCGGTATATCTACGTTGGTGATGTCGAAGTATAAAGATACGGAATGGTCTGGTGAGTTGGTTTTTAATAATAAAAAATTTATTATTTATGTGTATTTTTCTTAGATAAATATTTCACTCCAGTTTGTGCGTATTTCGTGTCGGAATTGTTCTCGTCATTAGGGAGAATCATATCCAAAGGGTTCTCAATAACGGTACAATGTTGGTGTATAACTTCAGTAGAATTGGTGATGATTTATTGTATTTACAGCAATCGAATAAATGGATTTACATAGCGTTATCTATAGTGAGATTATTAACTCAAAATCCGTTGAGTTTGTTCTTGAATATCAACCCGACGAAGTTACCAGTATTATTAGGCGAAGATTGGGAATTTGTGCTGTTTATGGCGTATTTTGGTTGTGTCACGGGATTTGCGCTCAACATATGTCCGATGAGTTTGAAAAAGTAAGGGAATTATATTACATAATATGCTTTCAAAATCGTCCTCATACAAAGGAATAAGAAAGAGTGATATTGTGGCATTGCAACGTTCCTACTTTATCGAACTGTTATTTTAATAATCTTCCTTTGTTTCTTTGTTCAACTCATTAAATTGATCAAATTGCAAACATATTTGCGCTAGCTCAAATAAAATATTTTTTACAGTTTGGCACCCGAACGAAACGATGTGGCATTGAAATTATACAATTTAAGCATAGCTATAGGTGGCATATTATTCTCAGTGAACGGTATGATAAGTATTAAATTGGCGAATCTTTAATATAGGAATAATATTGTATAAGTAATTTATTGTAAATAAAGCACATTAAAATACAATCGAATCATTGAAGTACTAATCGATACAATTGTTACGATATGAAATTTATCGACAATTATCTTGTTATTATAACATCATATTTTTATCGATACTCGACGATATTTAAAAATTGTTATACCATCGTACGAAAAGTGACATTAAGCAGCAACATTATGAATATTGTGAGAAAAAGTAAGTCTAGTCACTAACATTAGTATGCATATTATCAATATTATTTACAGTATCGAGAATTTCTGTTTTATCCTACCAATATGATGATAAACGAAAATCTATACGGCTTCAAAACACAGAAAAAGAACCAAAAGATAATTACTACTTGGTACACATTACTCTATTCCTACTGGGATTTATGAACATGATGCCCATAATGTTTTTCTCGGTGGCAAATAACGTAAGTTTCCACCAGTACAAAACCTGCAGGAACACTCACCGATCCATTTCAGTATTGGATGTACAAATTCAGGAACCCAGCAGTTAAATACATTCCTAATGGACAGGATAGAACGGATTTGCAACAGTATTTCCAATCGATAACAGGACCTTTTCAAACTGTACCATCGGCTGTACTATCTGTACTAACAGTGACTTATTCCAAATACATAACGGAAAGGACTATTATAGGTTTGGTGGGTCTGACTGTGGTGACTGCTATATTTGCTGTGTTTCCTTTAATCGATACACGCAATTGTAAGTACTTATTTTTATTGTTGCAATGTGACACCTTGCATATTAAAATCCATTTTAGGGCAACTGGAATTCTTCGCATTGGTCATGGCTTTGTTATTCGTCGACACAAGTGAGTTGAAATATTCTCTAACCAATTGGTTTATAATAAGTTTTTTTTGAAGTTTTCCTATCGGCTTTCCAATCTTCCACCATGACGATGCTGGCTAAGTTACCGGACGATTATCTGTTCCTGTTCATATTAGGACAAAACGGGACTTTGATGATATCGATATTGCAAATCGTATCTCTGGTAGTGACCGATTCCGATGACATGTCGGGATTCATTTACTTCGCAGTGGGAACTCTAATGTCGTTAACCGTGTTAATTTTCATGCTATTAGCGAAGCGCACGGAGGTGTATCAACACTACGTGGAAAACGTGGAAAACATCGAACAATCCACCGATATGAATTACTCCGATATCATCGATATCACTAAAAAAATATGGCCGTGCATGTTTTTGTTATCAACGTCTTTATTCATAGTTTTTACTGTGTATCCTTCCATCATGAGCTTAGTCGTTTCAGAACAAGCCAATACCGAATGGGGAGGTGAGTCACAAAAGTTGCCAAAACTGTCAAAGTTGTTACAACTGTCAAACTTGGTACAACTGTCAAATTTGTTATAACTGTCAAAGTTATCAGAGGTTTTTATTTATAGATAAATATTTCATACCGGTGACGGTGTTTTTCCTATTCGATGTATTCGGGACGATGGGAAAACTTCTCACTAGGAAAATACAAATGACGGTAATAGGTGTAAAATTTGCAGCCCGTTCGAGTGGTTAATCGATTGAATTTTTTTTACAGAATTCGAATAAATGGTGGCACGTAACATCATCTGTAATTATGTCTTGTTTAATCACGGTTTTTTACATGTTTTGCAACGCCCAGCCCAGAACTCTGCCTGTGGTGTTCGACAAAGATTGGGAATTTATCCTAATGAACGTGATATTCGCTTTCTACAGCGGTTTTATCATAAACGTGTCGTTCATGAGCTTAAAATCGTAAGTAGTATTCTTCTATACTCCGTTCGCTATCAAGCCATATTAATAAAACCGTAAACTAGATGCTATGGGTACTATCTTAAAGAATCTATACTCCGTTCGTCATCAGAAAAGAGTATAATAAAACCGTGACACAAAGTAACTACTGGTAGATTAAGAGTAAATGATATGTAGGTAGGAAAATGGCAATAGATTGGGTCTACTTCTTATTTATTAGGTTTTATAATAAATATTCTGATGATGAAAGGAGTGTAAAGACACTTCAAAACAGCACACTTAAGCACAAAGTACATGCTAATTCAAGTTTATTACGCACTACCAACTTGATTTACGACACTGGACACTCGAAACTTGACACATTTAACATACATTATCATCGTCTGATAGCGAACGGATTATAATACAATCATTAAATAAATTATTCAATAATTTTCTTCCAGCATGTCGATAGGCGTCGAAGACAACGCTTACTCCCTAATGAATCTCACCCTATCCGTAGTCAGCACGATTTTTTGCGCCAACGGAATGATCGCCGTCAAATTAATAGATATCGATTAGAAAAAAATGATCCGATTTTCATTGAACGAACCCTTTGCAGTATACGACGAACGCAATTATATTCGATATATTTACAGCGATCGGGATAACCGCAGGATCGGGTCCCGGACATCCATACACAAACACGTCGCCGGGACGCGTGTCCTACACCGTGTAGAGCACAAGGCAATCATTGTCGGGCGTAATGCACGAGCATCGGTCGGGCGCTTTGTCTTCCCTTGTTTATGGGCCATTGCGGCAGATATGAAAGCCATCGATTTCGGGCACAATTGCCCGGCGAAACGGCGCGATTTTCGGATCGAATTGGCGCGGTCGATAGGATCGTTTCGGAGGCGCGTTTAAACGCGAGTAAATTCGGTTTCTCATTTGTGTAATTAGACCTTTAATCAACTGAAGAAAAAAACACGAATTTATTCACTACATATGGTTCCAGCTGTACGTCGACAACAATAATTCGAGCCGTGATTAATGGAGAGGCGAGTCTAGCTGTAATGAAGCCGTAATTCTAACCGTTTCTTCGATGGTACCCGAGTAAAGGTGGATTTATTAACGTGTTCGAGTATCGGGCGACTGACGAACAAATCAATTTTATTGCGGGATTACGAGGCGATTAATGGTGAAGGTATATTGCATTAACAAAGCCTACTGGTCGCGGCGTAAATTTTATATATTACTTATTAATCATTATCGCGTACGAAGATCCGTATCTGTTGCATTAGCATTGAATATGTTTTTGACACGGAGACTAGCGCGATATTGCGGAATTAGAAGAATACAAAAACACCATACACATACAGAGAGCGTACAAAAACTAGGACAGATGGTTATTAAATAAAAGATTCTTACATACCTACTTAGGATACATTATTACCATTATTGTTATGAGAAAACCGACGTTTCCGTTAGATTCGTTATGAAACCTAATTAACGCTCGGAAAACCGAGATATTATTATGTTATTAGAATAAATTACAGACGGGTCGCTTACGGACAACTACTTAACTTAGTGTAATAATAGAAGAATATTGGAAGTTAACCACCGTACTATTTGAACTAAATATTTATAACATTCCCGAGTATATCGTGGGCATTTATAATAAACTCGAAGTAACATAAAGAATCGTTTTTTTCTGTGCGAGGAAATTACGTGTACAAATGCGTAACTTGTAAATTAAAATACGAAAGGAAACGCATAAATAACATATGAACTGAAAGATTTCTCATTTATCAAAATCGTACATCGCCACATCAGAAATATTAAATTTTATTTACGTACACTATTTAACATTGTTGCAATTGTAATTCGAAACGTGGTATGAACGGGCCCGTTTGTTCGTTAGTAATTTATGCAACGCCAGGGTCCCTGTATTTAAACAATGAATGAACGCGTCCATTGTGCGAAGGATGCGCATCCAATTTGCAAGATATTCGCTTAGTTCGTGTAATCCTCAATTATTTACCTTCGAATCTATTCCAGCTTATTCGTCGTTTATTTATTTCGAAGCGATTATTTCCATAATTAACAAACGGTTTATTGTGTTTAAAAGCGTATAAAAATCCGTTCGGTGATTATGCGAAATAAATATGCGTGTAATTAAATTATGTATTATGTTCAATACAGGGCTTTTCACGGTAACCGTCCGTTAGAAGTATCTCAATAATGAATAGACTTAAAAATCTGAAATTTTGGTTATAGTATTTTTTTGGATAATATGAATTGATCTAAAATATTTTCATTTTGATTACACTTCAGGTTATACCGGAAGTTGACACCGACTTCGTTATTTTATATGGAAAGTGCCATTTTTAACTTCATTTTTGAATTCTATGGCCTTTTTTAACTAGACTTTGATAATAACACCATATGACAAAAATGCACCATTCTTAAGATATTACAATTTTTTCAATATTTTTTGGAAAAACAGTCGAATGTATTTTCTGTGATATCTCTGTTAATAATGCAGCTAGAAGCTTGAAATTGAGTATCGATGATGTCCAGACATACTACTAAATGAAACTAAACTGTATTTTTAGAATCCATGTACAGGGCGTTTAAAATTGTCTGACAAACTTGGCCAAATTAAAGTGGTCATAACTTTGTTATTTCAAAAGGATCACCCTGTATTTTTTAACAGTGACCAATGCAGTTTTTTAAGCCCTTTCAATCCATATGGGTATTGCCTATACCCAAATCCAGTAGTTTTTGAAATAATCGAAGTTTTATTAAATAAGGAATGAATTTTCGTTTTTTTTAATTATCTAGTTGGCCATTTGATGGCCTTATGTTAATCCGATATTTATGTATTTTTGAAAAATTCTACGCTAAATTAAAGAGTACTTTTGTCTAAAACATTTTTTCAAAAATGCATACTTTTTAAGATATTTTTTATGAAAAAATTGACAGTTGCAGACCCTTATAAATTATCTCTTTATACGAGTAAGCCCTTAAAGTTAAAGAAATGGTTTCTGTGAGGTGACTACCATTAAGGTTAAAGGTAATTGAATCAATCGACATTCGACTGTCTTTTCAAAAAATATTGAAAAGATTCTAATATCTTAAAAATGGGGCATTTTTGGCATATGGTGTCATTATATAAGTCTAGTTATAGTTAAAAAAGGCCATAGAATTCAAAAATGAAGTTAAAAATAGCACTTTCCATCATATAAAATAACGAAGTTGGTGTCAACTTCCGGTATAACCGGAAGTGTAATCAAAATGAAAATATTTTAGATCACTTCATCATATTATCCAAAAAATACTATAACCAAAATTTCAGATTTTTAAGTCTTTTCATTATTGAGATACTTCTAATGGGTAGTTACCGTGAAAAGCCCTGTATATTAAGAAAAAAATGTAACTGATTGTGATATAATTATATTTTAATTTACTCGAAATTGATAAGATCGAATGGGCATAAGTTTTCGAATAAAAGTGCCCGAAAACAAACAGGATATTCTTTAATAACGCGTTAAATTTTTGTTGTATGAAAAATGACTGTAATTGTTCTAATTATTACTTATGGGGTCGTTGGGGATGCGAAAAAACCGCAAATACAATAGCCAGTAACACCTCGAAAATCCGTCAAGTAAACACACCGTCGGGATTCGGACGAACAAAAAGTATATGCGGGAATTATAGTGAGAACTGCAAACATTACGGGCGAGTTTTTCAAAAAGGCCGCGCTGGAAACACCTTTTGTATAGCGATGTTTAGTTAGACCTGACAGTTGTTTGAATCCTAAATGATGGATAGTCCTAGTCCTGAATATCTCCTCACCCTTCCCTTTCATACGAGGCGCGGATTACAAGCGAGGAAATACAACATTTTCGCCCACTAATTTCTATCGCACACACGACACCTCTTCCCGATAATAATAATAATAATAATAATATTTTTTTTTTTCCGTTCGCCGGATTTATCCTTCAGGTATTTCTTAATTGCGCATTCCCACATTTATAGGAACTGTCCGAATATTCGCGGAACTCGTCATAAGCCCGCCGGCATCGGGCAAAACAAAGATGGTCCTTTTTGGTACAGCCATTCCTCATCATCGACGGCCCGAGAAATGTCTGGCATGTCAACGCGAAAAATTCAATAACTTCCGCCCACCCAATCGTATATTGGACTCCGACGAGGTGTATTCAGAAATGTCGGAAATTCGTCGATTACATTTTCGATCGTTCGAAAAATTTCATGAAATAATACATTTTTTTTTGTTTTTTATTGCAAGTTAATATTTCATACTTCTTTTGGATATTTGCACCGTTCACTAGAGAAATAGCAATTAACAAGGAGTGATTGTTGTTGTTGCATTGAGGCGAAAATGTGTTGTAAAGGGGGTAGTTTAAGTTGCTTAAAGTAGTATAATTTTAATAACAAATCCTTCTTACTTTTATTGGATATATCACTAAAGATATAGTAATAAACAAGGAATGATTGATTACTGTTCGTTCGAAAAATTTCATGAAATAATACATTTTTTTTGTTTTCACTGCAAGTAAATCTTTCCTACTTCTTTTGGATATTTGCACCGTTCACTAGAGAAATAGCAATTAACAAGGAGTGATTGTTGTTGTTATATTGAGGCGAAAATGTGTTGTAAAGGGGGTAGTTTAAGTTGCTTAAAGTAATATAATTTTAATAACAAATCATTCTTACTTCTATTGGATATATCACTAAAGATATAGTAATAAACAAGGAGTGATTGATTACTGTTCGTTCGAAAAATTTCGTCAAATAATACATTTTTTTTGTTTTCACTGCAAGTAAATCTTTCCTACTTCTTTTGGATATTTGCACCGTTCACTAGATATATAGCAATTAACAAAGGAGTGATTGTTGTTGTTACATTGAGGCAAAAATGTATTGTAAAGGGGGTAGTTTAAGTTGCTTAAAGTAATACAATTTTAATAACAAATCCTACTTCTTTTGGATATATCAGTAAAGAAATAGCAATAAACAAGGAGTGATTGATTACTGTTATTACACTGAGAAAAAAAAAACGTGTAGAGCGAAAGGGGGAAATTTAAGCTGCTTAAGGTAGTACCAAAACTTATATCTTTAACGCGATGTCGGACATGTTAAACAAAGCGTGAAATAGTCAAAGGTGCAAACGTTAAACAAACATAGAAGGAATTCATTGACGTTTCGGGCTCTTTCGGAGGGCGAAGAACAATAACAGAACGATAATAATGCGTTTAAAATGCGAGTAAATTCTAATGTAAACATCGTAGGTAGCCGAACTAAAACGATATTTTAGGTTGTTTATCGTACGTGTGATTTAGTAGGGATTTAGGATCCGCAGATGCGTCCCTATTGTCGTGTTCTTGTGCAAACAAATCGAAATGCACTTCCAAAAATCTACTGACTAAAACTAATCTCTTTTCGAAGCGGCGAATGGCGAACGCCGACGAATTGTTTACCGCCTGATTTCTATTTATATTATATACATTATTAACAAATGTTTCGATTAATAAAATCGAATTTAATCTCATGAGAAAAACAAACAAACGCCGCTCGTTCTAATGGCAAACGCCAATAAATAAAGTCGACTCGAACGCGATTGGATAATACGTCGATATGAAATGAAATTTTTATTAACAGGTCTCCACCATTACCATCACGGTTTATGATTTAATTATGACTTTTATGGATTTTATTGGTTTCTGATTGCGACGCC